CCCGACGCCGCGGCGCCCGCCGTTGGGGCCCTGTGCGGCCATGCCGCCGCCTGTGCCGCCCACGGTCCTGGTGCCGTCGGAGCGCGCGGTGGTGCTGCTGTCGTGCGCACTCTCCGCTTTTGGCTCGAGCCTGCTGGTGGCCACGCACACCCTGTGGCCGGACCTGCGCAGCCGGGCGCGGCGTCTTTTGCTTTTCCTGTCGCTGGCCGACCTGCTCTCGGCTTCCTCCTACTTCTATGGGGTGCTTCAGGACTTCTCGGGGCCCTCGTGGGACTGCGTGCTGCAGGGCGCGTTGTCCACCTTCGCCAACACCAGCTCCTTCTTCTGGACCGTGGCCATTGCGGTCTACTTGTACCTTAGCATCGTACGTGCGGCTCATGGGCCCCGATCCGACCACCTGTTCTGGGCCTTCCACGTCGTCAGGTGGGTGATGGCGGCTCTGGGGCCGTGGTGGATCTTCCGTTGGCCCTAACCTGACTTCCCTAGTGGTTTGCGCATTCCCCCAGTGGCTGCATCTCCCCCAAACCAAAAGGGCGCAGTGGCGGTCCTCAGCTCTGTGTCCTGAGGGCGGTCTTGAACCAGTGGATCAGTCTCAGGCTTGCCTCCATCATGGCCCCAGAGAGCGCCCATTTCTGCCCGTCCTAACCCTAAACTTACTGCAGTGAAGTGACCCCTCAACTCAGGCCCCTGCTAGGCTCCGGCCATCAACTACCCTATAGGGGATATGCTGGCCCTCAGGCTGGGAGATGAGTAGGTGTTTGCCTGTCAGGTCCACCTCCTCAACCCTTGTCACAGTGGGCGGGGTGCATTCCAGGGTCCCGAATGTGATGTTCTGGTGGCAGAGCAATGTATTACGCATTGAGCTGCTAACCAAAAGATGTACTTATCAGCTGCTCTGAGAGAGAAAGAGGAGGCCATCTGATCCCGTAAAGAGATTTATAGCCTCAAACGTTATGCCAAGTTCTGCCCTGTCCTGTATGGGTCACTGTGAGTGAGAATATGTTGGATGACAGTGGATTTGCTTTGGTTTTGTTTTTTTAAACTGTGAAATATACAAGAAACTCCCCCCGCCCCATCTCTTCTTTTATTCTCCCATTGTTAACCTTTAGGGCTTCTCTCTTCGGATTTCTCTTCCTGGTGATTTTACTTTATAGAATTCAGCAGGTGAATGGCAGAGGGCTGCTCAGAGGAGCACTGTAGGCTGCCAGGAGTTTCTCCCCAGGAGGGAAAGCTGGACCTGCCCTGGCCTGCAGGTGTGACACCAGATCAGGAAGCCCTCTCCTCTGGGAAAAGGTTGGCCCCATCAAGACAAGACATTGCTGGCAATGATTAAGGGTGATGGTTGCGAAGCATGATAAATGCAATTGAGATTGCTCAATTGTGCACTTGAAACATGTGGAGTTGGCAGGTGTTGCAGATATGCTTGCAATAATTAAAGAAAAAGAAAAAAAATGACATTGAATTCCAAGATGTCAAAATCCGGTGCTAGTGCTGAACCACACTGGTCGAAACCTCAGGGCTTGTTTCCTCCGGTTTAAAGCACCCACTGCTGCCCTAATTATAGGTCTCTGCTATTCAAAACTTGAGTACTTTCCAGAGGACTGGAAGGACAGTCAGCACTGTGGTAGAGACAGGTCACTTGGGTGGCACAACGATGAGGTCACAGGCTCACAAGCGTCATTTGACCTCCAGCTCTTGGAGCTGCTGACCAGAGGCCCACTGGTCCCTGGGAAACCAAGTGACCTGCTTCTGCACTGTTAAGACACCAGTTTTCAGGTGCTGCAGGGGTCAGCAAAAAGAGGGCTGCCCTTCAGCTTCCTGCTCAATCAAGTGCTGCTCCAGAGGCTTGGTGGGGCAGTCAGGAGGGGCACCAGGTCTACTTGTGTGCACACCATCTGGCACGTGTCCCTGAGAAGGAGTTTGCCCATGACCTTTCTTTGCCAAGAACTTCTTAGCTCTTTCCCCTCTTTTGGAAAATATTGGATACAGTGTGTATTTTAGGTGGCTAAGCAGATCTGACACACCTACTTGTACAAAAGACAGCTTTTCTAGCAAGCCCAAGTTGGGAGTTCAGCTTTTCACTTCTTATCAGGGACTCCTGGGATGTTCTCTGTGGTGCTTAGGAAATGAAAGGCCACCATCTAGAAAATGCTGAGTGCCCTTTACTCATCAGAAAACAAGAGAATTGTCCATCCTGTCTGTTAGATGAGATCCCCTCAACTGCTTTGAAAAAAAGAGAGTGAGTTAGAGAATTTATTCCTTGGAGTAAAAAGTTAACACTTCAGCTTTGGTATTAGGTACCATCAAGCCAATTTTTCCACTCAGAATGAAAGCCCACATGACTAAGTAGAACTACCCATAGGGTAGGGATTTTTTGGCTGTTACCTTTACAGAAGCAGATCTCCAGGCCTTTTTTCCCCAAGAAACCTCTAAGTGGGTTTGAACCACTCATCTTGGCAACCGAGCACTTACTCCAGATTAGCTAAATAAAGGGAATTGGGTAAGACCTGTATAACAAGTTTGTCTCTTGACCTAGTTGTTACTTGCCACTGAGTCACTTCCAACTCAGAATGACTCCACAGGTTGTAACCTCTTGGAGCCAAATTATAAGGTGCTTCTGGGTGGATTTGAACTGCCAACCTTTTAGTTAGTCTAGCACTTAACCATTTGTGCCACCCTCCCAACATATGAAAACATTTCAGAGGGCTCTCCTTATTCCTTGGGAAGTATTTGTTTATTGTTGCTGAAGATTCAGTGGGTGTGTCAGATTTTATCTTCAGATCTAAACTGTGTGATCTGTGTACTTTTAAATCGTTCGAAACACTTCTTTAAACAGTTTTGGAAAGTATTTTTAAATAGTGAAGAATGAAAGATATATCTATTCCGTAAAGAATTGATACAGTATCCTGGCAAGTAGGCAGAGGATGTATTCAGACAAAAGAGTCAACAGAGTTGATAAGGATCTATTGGAAAAAAGAGGAAAACTGTTGCTGATGAGACTGTTTCCGGTCATAGTGACTCGATGGAACTAGCCCATTGAGTTTCCAAAGCTGTAATCTTGGTAGAAGTGGAACGTCACATCTTTCTGCCACAGAGCAATTGGTAGGTTTATACCACTGATCTTTCAATTAACTGAATGCTTTAATTACTGATTATCAGGCCTCCTTGAGGAAGAGATTAAACTCTAATACTAAAACCAAAATACAAAATCTGTAAGTTATATAACACTGAGATACTATTTCCTTGTTATAAGGAAAAATTAAGTAGAATACGAATGCAATAAATACTGATGAAACCAATGTTTTCCTTCATTACTATTGTCAATATAAATTGAAATAATTTCTAGTCTAGAAAGTATGTGGTTTATATTTTTTATCTTGTAATCCTATTTCTGGGGGCCTAGTTAGTCTAAGGAGATAATCCAAAATCTGTACAAAGCTGTATGAACAGAGAAGTTTGTGGTTTCATCTTTATGTCAAGAATTTGGAAATAACCCAAATGATTAACTGTAGAATAATAGAAAAGTTATAACCCACTTCCTTGAAATATTTTGCATCCATTAACTATTGATTGTGAGCACTATAAGCTGTATTTTTAAAATGCTACAGTATTATGTTAGATGGCAAAGAAGCCATCTATAAAACTGGTTGCAACAGCAGTGCAACAAACCATTTTCATATGGCCTTTCTATTTGTGGTCTTACAGTTTCCATGGAATGATTTAGTGGGACTATATGGTGTGTCTCAGGGTTGTATTCTTTCTCAATACCTATTCAATCTGTATTCTGAACAAATCATTTGAGAAACTACATTATATGAAGAAGAATGTGGCATCAAGATTGGAGGAAGACTCATCAACAAACTGGTTATACAGATGATGCAAGGTTGCCTGTTGAAGCTGAAGACAACTTGAAATACTTGCTACAGAGAATCAAAGACTACAGACTTCAACATGGATTACATTTCAACATAAAGGGGGAGAAATCCTCACCACGGGACCAATAGGTAACACCTTGATAGATGGAGAAAGGGTTGAAGTTGTCTAGGATTTTGGCTCACCTGGATCCACAATCAACACCCTTGGTACCAGCATTCAAGAAATCAAAAAACACTGGGAAACATTACCGTCTTTCATTGGCAAAATCTGCTATCAGGGGCCTCTCCAAAGTGCTGAAGAGCATGATGTCAGTTTAAAGACTAAGGTGTATTGCAGACTGAAGATCAAGTATTTGTATAAGTATTAATAATGAGACAGAACACCAAGAATGTAGGAGAACAGAGGCAAAGCAGGAGGCGAACAGTTCTCGAACAACTGATGTGAACTCCTGCTTTACCTCTGTTCTACATTCTTGGTGTTCTGTCTCATTATTAATACTTCTAAAAATACTTTATCCTTGGCCTACAACATTCTGACACCAGAACAGGAACAAGGTGGTGGTTTCTCTTTGGATAAGGTGGTGGTCTCTTTCTTTCTCTCTTTTTTGAGCAGACACCAGGAACCGAAAGGGAATTTGCTCAGGGTAAGTGAAACTTTTGGAAAAAATAAAGACAGGAAAGCTGGAATTGGCGGTTCAGTTCACTTCAATTGTTTGAGAACTGTGCACTTCCTACTTTCCTGTCTGTTGATAATTGCCAGGGAGTAAATCACAAAGAGAATCCAATGCAGGTGAAGCTAAGCTTCTTCTATTGAAAATCTTCTTGATTCAGTAGAGAGGAGTTAGCAAATAAAATACAAAACTCCTGTAAATGCTTAAGGATTGCCTTAGTGCTTCAGGATTAATTCCAGCTGATACCTGCCTCCCTCATAACCTGAAGTAGCATTCTGTTTATTACAAATATTTAATATAAAATTTGGCTTCCCATAAAGGTGCACCCAGTCGAAGCCATGGACTATTCAGTTATTTGCTACACAACTGAAAGTTGGACAGTGACTAGGAATGGCAGAAGATTCAATGCTTTTGAGTTGTGGTACTTAAGTACGTAGTGTCCCATGGATTGCCAGAACAACAAACAAGTATGTCTTGGTGATAGTGCAACCAGAGTCTAGAGTGCTCCTTGGAAGCAAGGATGGTGAAACTTCATTTCACATATATTGGGTGTGTTGTTAAGAGAAGCCAGTCCTTGGAAAAGGATATCATGCTTGGAAAGGTCAGGGAAAGAGAGGATGGATGATCCTCACCAAGATGAATTGACAGTGACTCTAACAGTGAACTCAAGAGTATCAGAGATGATGAGGATGGCACAGCATAGGGCGAGGTTCAGAGCCATTATTCCTACAGTCACTGTCAATCATAGTTGAACAATGGCACCTAACAGCAATGACCCTAACAACAACATACAAATAAGATGCTTATGGCCCATTAAAAGGAATGAACAGTTTGCTAATAATGGAAATAAGGTGTATGGTACCGTTGTGAACTTGTT